TAGTCAGAGCACAAGTGAGAGCAGATCATAGTTTGATCTCTAAACCAGCTATCTATAGTAGATGTATACATTTAAGCATAAGTAGGAGAGTTGAACATACAAGAGGAAAAAATGAATATATGTGTGTGATTAAAGAGGCAAAATACGCACAAAATACGAGGATTTACAAACAACTAGGAAAAAATAAAGTATTTTTATCCATCTTGTTCTTATTTGTTCAAGAAAAAATCGGACTGAAATAAGTGAAATTTATGTCTTCACTTGAAGAACCTAGTATTTTTTGCCAGTTTCTTTACATATCGTCAAGCTTCAAAACAGTGGCAAATCTTCATTACTATGTCTTACGGTTAACGACCAAAAATGAAAAATAAACAAATAATCAAAGTATATATTCGGAGTTGAGGCAATAAATACAAGTATACTAATCAGCTGCAATAAAGATAAAACAAGCTCTGTTTCGACAACAACACAAGAAGACCATAACTGACTCCAAAACGGTCAAACAACAGTTAACTTGATTGAGAAACAAGTTTAAGCATTTGATTTCAGAAACAAAAACAGCATCTATGGGAATAATGGCAATAACAAGAGAGAAAACAGGACCCGGGAAAAAAATGAAAAATATTATTCAACTGATCTGACACGACCAAAACATACTTTGCTCCATATACAAACAATAAATTTTCAGCTAAACACAAAGGTCTCCATGAATCATCTCACCTGCCAGCAGTAGGAGATCCAGCGTTGAGAGACAGAGTCAGCAGCTCTCTTAGTGCCAGAAACAGAACCACCCACAGTACTGACTCTGTCTGAGAAACGAGAAGCAGCAACAGCAGGTCCATGAGAGACCCCAGAAGGGAAGTCTTTAGCAGTCAAAATACGACCACCTCATCCCCATGCAGAAGAAGGCTTGGCCTTCCCAGCAGCAGCAGCACCACCTCGACCACCAAGGCTCAGACCCAAACCCAGTTCAAGTTCAGCCTCGCCTTTGTACGAGGATGAACATTCTTGGCCTAGAAACTTAGCATTTGACACAGCAGGCTCATTTGGGGTAGCCCGGAAGAGCCACCATTGCCACCGCCACCACCACCTAGTAAAATAAGTTAAACACAAAGGTCTCCATGAATCATCTCACCTGCCAGCAGTAGGAGATCCAGCGTCATGAGAGACAGAGTCAGCAGCTCTCTTAGTGCCAGAAACAGAACCACCCACAGTACTGACTCTGTCTGAGAAACGAGAAGCAGCAACAGCAGGTCCATGAGAGACCCAGAAGGGAGTCTTTAGCAGTCAAATACGACACAACTCACCCCATGCAGAAGAAGGCTTGGCCTTCCCAGCAGCAGCAGCACCCACCTCGACCACCAAGGCTCAGACCCAAACCCAGTTCAAGTTCAGCCTCGCCTTTGTACGAGGATGAACATTCTTGGCCTTAGCATTTGACACAGCAGGCTCATTTGGGGTAGCCCGGAAGAGCCACCATTGCCACCCGCCACCACCACCTAGTAAAACCAGAGTCATGGAAGAAGGATTGAAGATCGAAAGCTAGATTGAAGATCGAAAGCTAGAGAGATAGAAAGATGGGTTTGTGAGGGAAGGAGGGGATGAGAAAGAGGGTGGTAAAAAGGGCAGAACTTTGCGAGTCGCTTGGGAACGGGAGGAACAAGGTGTGGAAGACAAAATGGTATTGAAGGACGAGAAAGAAAAGAAGCACGAAAGTAGGGAAAAGGATGCTGTTGGAGGGGGTGGAGTTAGTGATGATATGGGACCCATATGTCTTCTTAGTGCGCATACCACTTCTCATTTTCTTTCCTTTTGCCTTCGCATAATTTATATCTTTCGAGAATAGCATATTTTTTAATTAAGTCAAGGGTAGTCTAGCCTAGTCTAATCTAATTTTCTAATAATTTCACAAGTTGTACATATTATTCTATATTAAGTAGTGCAAACAACACCCCAGATTTGTTAAAAGACTACAAATATTATCATGATCAAGACAGAATAGGTTAAAGTCTTCCCATGATTATCAACTTCTATATGCAATCCCAATTTTTCAAATCTATGACCTGTTTGCCAAGAATTTAATTTGTTGGGGGAAAAAGAGCATTAGTGAAGTTTACGGGGCAGGTGGAGGATAGAGTAGATGGTATATATGTGATCAAAGTAAAGAAAAAGGAAGAGAAGAAGGTGATGAGATGTGGAATGGAATACAGAGACAAGGAACATGATACGTGGTGATGGTAACTAATTAGGAATAGTACGAGGGAGTTACTTTTGGTGTTGATTGCAAAAACGAACTTTTTAGGTGTGTGTATGGATTAGTATGATAGTTAATCATATTTGTACGATTTGCTTAATTCAGCTGCTTAAAGTTACCAACCCCATAATTGTTCACCGCATAACAGGAAGTGAACTGCTCAATTCTTAATCCTTAATAATGCTCTACATTGCCTGAATTACTTATACTTAACTTTTGCTCTTTAACTATTGTAGTGACTTCTTTTATGATACAGACGATGGAACCCCCAACTGTAGCATATATAAAATTGTATGCATACTAATTATTGTTAAGAAATTAAACCTTTCTTAAAAATTTGAATGATTTTTAGTATATGATATTATTGGATTGAATTCAAATATAGTTAAAGCACTAAAAAGAGTAGCTCTGGCCAAAATATATATATATATATATATTCACACACAAAGTTGAATATTTATAACTATTGATTAAATAATTGTAACTTTTTAAACTTCTCGGAATAATTTTTTATGATGTTTAGCTAGTAATAATCTTGATCTCTAAAACACACTCAACACAATTTTTATGATCTGGGTAATTTTTTAGCATGTCTATGTTTATGTGTCAGCTGATGAAGAAGAAACTAATTATGGTGGTTAATGTTAAGAAAAAGGGGATGATTAGGTGTCTGATACAGGATTAGCATGAAAAAGCAAAGGGGGTTAAAGTGAGAAGGAATGGTGTTTTTAGCAGCACAAGCAAGAAAAAGAGTATGATTCTGGTTTGGGTTCTCAATGCCCACCTTTTTTAAAAAAAATCTTTTTTAAGTTTTCTTCTTTCTTAGGCTCTCTGTCTTGTATTTACAGGACAAATGGCCACACAAGCCTTTTGTTTTACAAAGTTGGGACCAAAAGATAATATATATCCTTATATGCCTTTGCCAACTGTGGAGTGAGAAAACAACAAAAAAACCTTCCCCCATAATTATTCCTTAAAATATGTTGTATTTATCATTACTAAACATTTCATTAATTCCCCTTTTGGACCCCACAATATTGAAACCCTGCCTTTCAATGCAATTAATTAATTACCAGCATAAAAGCAAAAGCATCTTCATCTACCGCAGCTAGGAACCACTATTAGTGCTCCTCTTCTCAAATTAAAAAGCCTATATTTTTTATATACCACATGAGATCTATCCTTTTGATTTAACCTTCAAGCTAGCTTTGTGGGATTTGTTTTTTCATTTCAAGTTTTAATTTGGCCACGGAGAAGCTTTCCGATATAATTTTATTAGGTGTAATAATAGATATAGTAGTTGTTTTAAATTTGACCCTTCATGGATAACTTTTACTACCTAGTTGGTGAAGATCTTTTGATCAGATATTATGGGATCTAAAAGTTAAAAAACCAACATGTCATTTTGCCGAACAAAGCTTTCAAAAACCCTGGCCCAAAGTTATGGAAAAGAACATGATTCATTAAAACAAGTGATTTGTGTGTTAATCATGTATCTTTGTTTCACGTTTCATGGAGATCTTGTTGGATTTTATTGCAGTTCAGTTTCTTCCGGTAGGCGTTGACTAACATCAATCAATGCACATATCCATATATAGCACCATGTTTTCTTCCAAAGCATACATAAAATACAATTAATAGCAGTATATACGGTCTAAAAAAATATTATTCCTCCTATCATAAATATAAACCTATTTTTATAATGTAATTTACATTATAAAAAAAGTCTTATATTTAGAACTGGAAGAGTAATATATTAGATAAAAGGGTTATATTATGAGTATATACAACTATTTAGGATATATTTGCTGCCCAAGGGGGTGACATTTGAACGTTATATATGGATTAATTGAGGATGCGTGGCTCTTTATATAATGTGATTATTTATTTTTCATAAAAAAAAGTTTGAATTTTTAGTACTCCATTGTTTATTCAAGTAGTGCTTGTACTATTAAGAAGCTCGATACATGTTTGATGTGCTTATTAGAATTTATTGTTGAGGAGACTATCTATAATTGAAAATTGTAAGCTTGAAAAATACTGAATATTAGTAATAAATGTTACAAATCATATATTCCTCCGGTTCTAAATATAAGATCTCTTTTGTAGTGTAATTTACACCACAAAAAAGGTGTTATATTTAAGACCAAAGGAGTATAATTTTACATTTTTTCCTTGTTACAATAGTTGTATTTACTTTATCTAATAACAAAGTTATATATTTTTCTCGATAAGATCTAGCAAAGTTATATGCAAAACAGTAATAAATATTGGTGAGCACAAATTAAAGATGGGAGAAAAAAAAGATTCAAAACAACAAAAAGCCTCTAATGTGATCCTCGATCAAAACTATCAATACAAATATACATCATAAATAAGATAATAATTGAATGAATATATTTGACAATCAATCAACCCCGTATATAAATGCGGTTATAATTTTCTTAATTTCCCCCTTTTTCTCCTGCTTTTCCAATTTATGCAAAAGCAAGAAGAAACAACAAATTCCATTTTTTTAAAAAAAATTACCAAAAACAAAGAATTAGAATTAGGCATAAGCCCTAACCCATCCTTGTCAACCCTCTCCTTGTCCTTAGCATCGAAAGCATTTTGCATGAAAATTCTTCAGTTATAACAAAAATGCGCGCCCCGCACGTGGCATTTAGCACCTCCTTAACCATTAATTACTCCTACCTTCCACGTCCGTCCTGATCATGGCCTTCACTAGCGGGTCGGGTCGAACCCATCAGAGGAAACTCGTGTCGCCTGCGGATGGAGTCCGCCGGTGGCCGGTGGTTTTCTTCCTTGAATTGTCACCACCACAAACGATAGTGCATTGACAGCCACAGATGTTGCTGAAGCACGAGAACAAACCATTCCCTCCGTCTGTGTGCCTTCGGTTATGCATGGATTTTTTGCTCCTGGTCGACGCTGGGTAGCTCGAGAGCTCGCCCCGATCGTACACCGGTGGAAGCTCCGTCCTCCACCTATCCAGCTTCGATTGTAATCCCTCCACACTCTCGTCGAGGCTCCACCCACCCACCGTGGAACTTTCACCCTCGTCGATCTTCGGGTTTTTTGCCAATGCTGCCGCCACCTCTGACGGTGACGGTCCGAGCTCCGATTCTGTTATAATACGAGGAGCGATGCCTCCTAAATTGGATCTTCTCGGGGTTGCGTACTCTAAAGCCGGATTGAACTTCCCGATCGAATGCAATGGAGTTCCCTTTGGCGTGGCCTTATGCGAACCTCCGTAACCTGCCTCTTGATGCAAGGGCGTGTTCTTGTGCGAACCTCCGTAACCTACCGCTTGATGCATGGGCGTATTCTTGTGCGAACCTCCATAACTCACTGTGGGATGCATTGGCGTATTCTTATGCGAACCTCCGTAACCCGCTGTGGGATGCATTGGCGTGTTCTTATGTGTACCTCCGAAGCCGACTGGTGGCGTTTGGAGGAGCTTCGGACCCGGAGAATTCCGAAACTGCGGTTTCGGCGATGGCTTGACTTCATACACATTGTTGGTTTTCTGAAAGAGTCTTTGGTTTTCAAAGGCGGCATTGAAGTTATCGGTAGTATCATGAGTGTCGGTGGTCGTTTCTGAGTCTGTCGTCGACGATTCTGGCGTTTGCAATTTCTGGTTCTTGTGATCGATGACATCAGAATCCTTGGCATTGTGATTCGGACTGGGGGACTTAACCTTGATCGGCTTCTCATCTAGGTCGGAGCCGCTGAGCATAGAATCTGGCCCCTCAAACTTAGCCCTCCATTGGAATCCAGCCCCAGGCTCGCTGAGAACAGAGGTCGGTTTTCCAATTTTGCCACCGCCTTCGCTCACGTCGGAGCCGCTAACTTTGGAGCTAGCCCTAGACCGTGAGCGGCTCTTTTTCTTGCCGCTCTTCCTAGAAGTGGCATCTGAAGATGACAACACCGAAGATGCTTTCCCCCTTGTGCCCCTGGGCCTTTGCTGTCGAGCGCTGATCATAGAGCTGGTGTCGCTCTTGGTTCGCCGGAGCTCCGGCTTGGAAGCATGTCGAGGGCTCATATGATTATGATGCTCATAAGCATCTTTCTCGCCCATCAAATGGCGGTATCCAACGGCTGAGGGATTGTGGGTGTACAGAGGCATGCTCCGCATGGAGCTGTCAAGCACCGCCACACCAATGTTCAAAATCCCCTGGGGACGACCCGACGGCCTTCGGACTTGGAGCGCCCCGAACCGCATCCCCGAGGAGGGATTGTTGCTGCGCGGGAAGGGGATAAGGTTAGCGATGAGGACACGAACGGATCCCACGTGGATGTCTTTGAACCAATGGAGAGCGTAGATGTCGATCATGACGGCTGAGGTGTCGGCGTACAAGAAGTCCTCATCGACCCGGAAGACAAACTTGTCATTCCAAGTCGGGTTCTTGTGGCCGTGCGTGTCGACCCGAGTGGAGAGCTTCCGATCCGGGTGGATCCATGCAACCGCATAGGTTCGCATGGCCCGAGACACCGGAGACAGGTCCTGCGCGGATATGACATTGAGTTCCAAGAGCTGGAAAGGAGTCGGAATACGAGACATGATGATATAATTAAGGAGCAACAGGATATGATCTTCGATGAACAGTGATTAATCTGGGGATTATGGATTAATCACGCACGTGAAGAACCGGCGAAAAGGGGAATGAGGGAGGTGATTTCAATGGATCCCGCTCGTCGTCCAAGAGGAGGACGACGAGGAAGGGCGTGACATTAAGGTGTGGCGAGAGGGGAGAATAAGGAAGCCAAAGCATTAAGGAATTTGCAGAGTGAAATTAATTTGTACCAAAGAATATAGGAAATCAAAGGAAGTTAATCAGTGGTTGATTTAGGAACGTTAATTGGCAGCGTTGTTTTCGGTGAGCGTGTGGGGGTTTTACTTTTTATATTAATTTGCTGCTCAAACATGTGATTTGATGATTTGGTGTGTACGTGAGAGTTCGTTTGGCCAGATGGTGGTGGTTTTTCCTTTAATAGAATCCCAACTAGCCTCGCACTCGCACATGGCTTTATTGGGCAAGGATCGGGTTCACGCTAGGCTGTAGAATACAACTTAGTGTGTTCTTTCTTTGATTTCTTTTGACAGACTTTGTCCCTGCTTCTCTCCAGAAAGAAGTTACAACGAGCTGATATATGCATGCATGAACATTATTCAAACTTGAAAGACCCATGCACCTACGTCTAATGAAACGTATGTTAGTTGAGTGAATTGTGTCCTATATATATATATATATAACATCAGTCTCAGTTTGCGATATTCATGAGGATTAAAGTGGATCTAACATTCTGAAGTATTTTTTAAGGAGCATTCAGCATTCTGAAATATTTTGTGGTGCATCGAGCATCCTAAAATATCTTTTTTGCTTTGGTGCTTGATGCAACAAAAAAAGTTTTTTGGGCGCTAGACACACCTAAAAAGAATACTACCTCCAATCCTTAATATTAGAGTTTGTTTGATTTTTATTTTGATCATAAATATAAGACCTCAATTCACTTTGTCTTTTATATTTATTTATTTTTTTCAAGATAGTCCCTATAATAATGATAGTTCTAGTCAATATACTTAATTAGTAAGGATATTTTAAGAAAGATAATACCTATTTATTACAAATAACAAATTTAACTAAGTTTCTAATATATTCAAATTAGTCAACCAACTCTTGTATTAAAGACAGGATGTAGTATTTTGAGGTATTAGATGCACACAAAAAATACTTCACAGTGCTGAATGCATCTAAAAAAATATTTCAGGGTGTTGGATGCACCATAAAATATTTTAGAGTGCTAGATATATCCAAGAAAATACTTTGAAATGCTTGATGCATCTTAACCCTATGTATGATGTTGCTTTTACCACCTTAATAAGTGCTACCCGCAGGTTTGACCATGAAAGGAAATTAAAAAGACTAAATCTCGTTCAAATCAATGGAGGAAGGCAATTAAGATCCCTAGTGATAATAATACACTAATTCTGATCTTTAATATAAGAGCTAATTTATTAATTTGAGTATATTAACAAAATTAGTTAAGTTTATTATTTGTAATAAATAGGTATTGTTTTTTCTAAAATAGTATGTTAATCAAGTGTAATAGCTACAAGTACTATTACTATAAAGACTATCTTGGGAAAAAAAATGAATAACTACGAGACACAAAGTAAATTAGAGTCTCGTACTTAGAATCAAATTAAAAACCAGACTAATTCTTATATTAAACATCCAGAAGTAATACATCATAATCAAATGAAAAGAGGGGGAAAGAAATCAGTGCATTGTTTCCTAATATATATATCTTCAGGTTGCATTGCTGCGTGTCAATGTCAAAACAAAACGCCCAATGGTCTCATGACTCTCATCAGCCGGCAAGGAACCCGTGGCTTCTTGCACCACAAGAAATTAATTTGTGATCACATTATTATTCAACTAACGTCAATGCATGATTTTCCTCAACTCCACACCCATATATATATATATATATTACTTCCGATCTTTAATATAAAACCTTATTTGATTTTTATTTTGATCATAATTATAAAACTATGATCTAATTTGTCCATTATATTTAGGCATTCTTTTTCAAGATAGTTTCTCTAATGATGATAGTTATAACCAATAAACTTAATTAGTAAGGATATTTTAGAAAATACAACACTTATTTATTATAAATAATTAACTTCACTTATTTCTTTAATTTTCTCAAAATAGTCAACTAGCTTTTATAATTAAGACCGGAGGTAGTAGATAGATAGTCAAGAAGTCTGATTAATTAATTAGTTTCCAAATTTAATTACTACTATTTGTCATCTCTACAATCGCTTGACTTTTACAGATGCTTAGGTTGGTTCATCGCCGATCACGTACGTTATCTTCCCGGGCGGCTGTTAAAGCCTAAGCCTATGCCTATTTTCCATCAAATGTCTCTCAAGTCTGCATCGGATCTTGCTTTTATTTCGTGCATGTGAATTGCGAAGATTCAGTTTAAACTTCGATGGAATCATGGACTTCTTGTTGCGTCTATCTTTTTCACCTTTCTGTTCCGGATAAGCAAGACTTTTATCTGCCCCTTTTTTTTTTTTTTTTGGTTGCCCAAACTGAAGCTAGTACCGTTTTTAAATCTCTAACTATTTATCTTTTAATACCAAAATGTATTATTCTCATTCATTATCTTTCAGTCCGAAAATATTACCTCACCTGCTCTGAATAAAATTGTCGCATTCACGCGTCCCTGACGGAATTTGACAAATTCATTTATCAAATGTAAAATCCATAACAAAATTTGATTTATTTTATAATAAAATTGGTAATCCATGCCACTCGTATTTTCATCGAAAAAAAGAGAGGGAAACATTTACGATATATCATGTCTGAAAACTTATATGGACTCCATAATCCATATATATATATTCTGTGAAATGAATGCTAATTTATTTTATATAATATTCCTAATTAATTAACTAAAATCTTGTGTTCTAATTAATAATTTTTATTAAGAATAAATTTGAGATTTTACAAGAAATAATTAACTTTAGTTAATTATAAAAATATTAATAAGTTTAGTTTTATCATGTAAATAAACATATCGATTGATAGCCGAAGAAAGAATATCTGAACCTCTGGATGGGATCTGGTCAAGCAAAATGTACGGAGCTTCACTCGGGGATATTTATTAATTTATTGATAATTATTCAATGAAAAAATTAATAGTAGTATTATTAGACTCAGATTGGTGATTGGTCAATCTCTCATGCAACCGTTTGAACCGCCATATGATACTTCCTCCTCGGACACTATGTCGCGAGCTTCAACTTGATAGAAGAGAAGGGAATTCCATTCCGTCAGATTTCAGATTCCTCAGTTCTCACTTCCTAATCAACATCACAATACGCTTGACAGAGCCTGGCATATAGTTCTTATTGCTCCATGGATGAATTACCCAGCTCCGAATCCCCGGCAGAGGGTGATTCGCTTGATCAGCGATTAACCCTGCGCACAGCTCCGTCATTTGACATATACAGCTCCAGCGAAGGGTTCGGAGATGGAACTAACGATACGGAAGAGGTTTTACTGAGAACCATTACTATTGGGCAGATGATAGGAGCCTTGGATAGCGGTGAGTTTAGCTTCGGTAAGAAGGAGATGGACTTGATTGAGGAGGAAGAGGAGAGTGAGAAGGATGAGTTGAGTGGGAGTCGGAAATCGGGGGTTGAGGAGGAAGTTGAACCGGCTAGTCCCCGATGTATTTAGCCGCTGGCCTTGGGGTTGATGGAACTGGATTTGGGTTTGATAGCTTTCCTATTGATGATTTATGTCTGCCAAACTTGGATGGAAGTGGCGATGTTGAGGAGCATTATAAGAGGATGATTGATGAGTATCCCTGCCACCCTTTGATTTTGAGAAATTATGCTCAGATTTTACAGGTGAGCCCCATTTTCAATTGCTGGTTTTTCTTCTCTAATGGTTTCGCTGTTTCCTGAGGTATACATCATTTTTGAAAGGAAATGTAAGGTAAAGTTGAGTTGTAGCATGGCGGTAAATTTAAAAACATTTGCGCAGGTCCATCAAGCCCTATACCAATAGTTCCCTTTTCTTCTTCTGTTGCTAATTATTCAGTTGGTTGACTAGCCTGTTTCTGCTCTGGTTTTTTCAGGGTACCGTTCAGTCGGTAACAAGCTTTTTTACGTGAGGATTATTGACTCTCTTAATCATCCTTATAAGAGATAATCTAGGGCAGAACGAATCTGCGTAATGTCCTGTATCAAAATACTACTTAGGAAACAACATCACAACCACCAGGACTATCCGTCTATCCAAAAACTAATAAAGGTGTCCATTCGGGGAGGGAAAAAAACTAAGAAAGGTGTCAGAAATAGTTGCCAAGTCATCTAAATATTTCCTTTTTCTTCTTTCATGGCTCCATTAGTTTCATTAAACAGGCATGACATTACATCTTGTTATTTTTGTCTCGGATGCTGATCTTTATTTTCTAAATTATACTGGCAGTCTAAGGGAGACCTTCGCGGAGCTGAGGAGTATTTTCTACGTGCTACTCTGGCAGATCCTAACAATGGTGAAATCTTAGTGCAGTATGCTAGGCTGGTCTGGGATCTCCATCGTGACAAACAAAGAGCATTAGAGTATTTTGAACGTGCAGCTCGAGCTCCCCCTCCAGATAGGTGAGAGTTCTGACACACTCACCTAACTCCATTTAAAAAATGTGTAGCCTGGAAATTGAATTGGAATTGAATAATTGCAATTGTCTAATCATCGGACAACTTACGGAATGGAATATTTTCTTCAAACTCATCGTAAGCAGCAGAAGTAGGATGATTCACTTAAAACGTTCTGGATTCTGAGCCTGACATGTCTTAGAGATAACAGTACACATTTTGTATTTCTTTCAGCCAGGTTCTTGCAGCATATGCCAGTTTCCTCTGGGAAATAGAAGAAGAAGAAGAAGATGATGATGATGGAAAACATGATACTAACAGCAAGGTGCTCCTTTCTCTTTCTCCTCTCGTTTTTCTTGTTAGGGAACATTGCATTTCTTTGATGGTTCATATGTGTTTCTTTAATTATTATAGCTTGTGATTAGGTGCAGAATGAGAACAATGAACAAAATAGTAAATTTGTCAGTCCCCCAAAACAAGATGATCAACCGGCTGGCCTTTTCCTGAACCCTGCAGCAAGACAAGAGATTGATGCAGCAGATTTTACAGCGTCCAACTATGGCAAGGATGCTGATATTAAGGACTACTTCAGGAAGATGATTGATGAAAATCCTTCCAACCCTTTGTTTCTGAAGAGTTATGCCCAGTTTCTGATTCAGGTGAGATATGTATGTTTTGCTATTCATGTCCTTTTGGACTCAGTCACCTTTATTATTATTTTTTTTTTGACCTGGACTCAGTCACCTTTGTTCACAAGCCAGCGTAACTTCAAAAATCACCGGAGATATTGAACTTTCTGTCTTGTTTGTATAGAAAAAATTGGTTTTATTTTAGGCAATGTCTGGAATGATGCATTGCCTAGACAAATTGCTATAAGTCCGGAATTTCTCTGTTGTCTGTCTTTATGAAGTATAATATTTCTTATGTTAATATTTTTCTCAGATACTGATTTTGTTTTCTATATTTACTGGCAGTCAAAGGGAGACCTTTATGGGGCTGGAGAGTGCCTTTCTCGCCCCACACTAGCAGATCCTGGTGATGGTAAATTCTTGATGCAGTATGCTCAGCTGCTGTGGGAGCTACATCAAGACAAGGATGAAGCATTGACCTATTTTGAAGGCGCAGCTCAAGCTTCTCCACTAGATAGGTAAGCATTCTGCTACTATTATCTTCCTTCCGAAAATAAATATAGTATTTATGGTGTGTTATTTGCCCCAAAAATAATTTATTAATCCAATTGCTTCTGGGCTGGAATGCGTTGTTACCACAATGTTGCCTTCAGAATTTGGCTGCTTCAGATAAAAAATGTATAATTGTCAGCTTTGCATGTTTACAGTATAACAATACGCAAGTGGCATTCTTTTCAGCGATGTTCTAGCAGCATATGCTAGTTTTCTCTGGGACATTGAAGATGATGAGGAAGAAATTGGAAAACAACAAAATAACAGTGAGGAGGTGCTGCTTTGCTCCCCCTGCCACCCCTGGCCCGCTTCCTTTCTAGTCTTCATCATGTATTTCGAATGAGACACATGGATTATTTATATCTTAATCTTTGCAATTGAATGCAGAAGGAAGAGCTGGAACAACATATCATAATTGTCAAAGGTGACAAAATTGACGATGATGCAGTGGATCTTACTCTGGCTAACTGTGGAAAAGATGGCAGTGTTGAGGACTACTATAAAAAGATGATTGATGAAAATCCTAACAACTCCTACTTTCTGAAAATTTATGCCCAGTTTCTGATTCAGGTGAGATATGCATATTAAGTAAAACTTTGATAATCATCAAGCCTTGAACAATCATGTTAAACGCCCCCAAGAAGATATGAAACAATTGATGTTTCTGAAGGGATTAATGCTAGCCGGAAGCGTAGAATGGACGCATGCTTCTGAATTTTGATGACTGGATCAAAAACATTAAGGGTTCTTTTTTCCCTTGCGGCTTTTCTTTTGGGAGTTTTGGGGTGCGGGAATGGGTAGAGGGATATAATGTTCTATAATGGAAGTGGTAAATGCTCAGCCTAGACACTCATTTATGGCATTATAAAACGTGAACTTTATTTTTCCAGTTTTTGGGAAATATGTTTTCAGAAGACAAACAACGAAAGAGGCAAAAACTATGATAGTTGAAATTCTCTAGCTATGGAACAAAATTTCAAAGGTTTGGACTGCCTCCGTGCATCATGGAGCCCAGGTTTTGTCATGCTCAGGCAAAAAGGAAAAAGTAAAGACACAGACACACATAGTGTGGAGCCCCACACAGGTGGGTTCCGCTGAGCATGTCCACTGCATCACTCTGTCTCTTGTATGAAGGTTCTCGTAAACATGAAAGAATCTGGACTATCGTACAGGTGGTAATTGTCTTTATCATAAATACGGGCTTGTCAGATCATGTGAGTAGGACATATATGTAACGAGACTCTGCCTAACAATTAAATTGTTATTGGTTATTACTTGTCTTAAGGGTAGAGAGGGAACCACAATACATGCGTCACTGAAACGCCCTCATAAACCCATGGATAGATGGCAAGAACAGGGGTTGATAGTTAACTCATCTATGCCTTTTCCTTACAAATTGTACGCATAAATTTGAAGCCTGCAAAGTTCATTTTTCTTCCATTTTCTAAACTCTCTTTTCCACCTTCAATGTACAGTCCAAGAAAGACCTTCAGGCGGCAGAAAAATGCTACTCGCGTGCAATCCTAGTTAATCCTGGTGATGGTGAAATGATATCGGAATATGCAAAACTAGAGTGGCAACTTCATCATGACTGGAGAAAAGCGTTATCATATTTTGAGCAAGCAGTTAAAGCTACTCCTGAGGACAGGTAAAATTCCGAGATACAAAATATAAGTTTTATCTCACACGCCTGTTTTATCTTGGATTCTGGAATACGGGGAAGATAATTTCAGCTTTACACATTCATGTGAATTCAGTGTTCATCCTGTCGTCAAAGAATTGTCGAATGCTCTATAGCTGGTTTTCAGTGAACATAATGTTTTGGGGGAATTCTGAATTACGAAAGTAATAAAAGCCAAATCTCGACTACCTCAAATCTGTGCATTATTAATTTAGGATGAAAATCATTCTTTTCCGGTTTCTGTGTTTGTCAGCAATGTTCTGGCGGCATATGCTTGCTTCCTATGGGAAACAGAAGATGTGGAGGCTGAAATTTCAGAGTAGAGACTCGTTGAAGTGCCTCTTACACGAGATCACCTTGGCACATGCCAATACTCGACAGAAATTTAGTGCTTCTACAGATGTCAGCTGAATTCTCAATTCTTGTTTCTACCATCTCAATGTGTACATGTTAGCTGTTCTTCACATCAACTTTGATAGTTTTTAGAAAAATAATAATAATTTCCAGCCTATTAAATAAATAAAATCATAAACACTATTCAACACATGAACTTAATTATCTTTTTGCACTACCCTTCTCAACACGTCATGCGCTGAGTTTGCGCGACGGTCAATGTAACCATAATGTTTACATGAAACCCGTAAGTCGGGTCAAGGAGAAAATGGGGAAGATCGGATTGGAAGATAATGTATTGAAATGTTTCCATCAAATCCATTTGAGAAATAAGTGATTACAAATACACTTGATTCAGATGACATGAGGTTTCATTAGGGTAGACACAATTCTCATGTTTCAGACTGCAGACTTAACATCAAATTCTCGAGGAAATAATTAAAACCAGGAGCCCCTTGACCAAAATCGCTATGGAAAAAAGAGAGATGTAATCCATAGTCCTACAACACCTTCCTTAGGTAGACTTTAAAAAATATGACTATTTGTTTGCTTCCTCAATAAAATCGACTATATAGAACTGAAATATCTGCTGGACCCAAAATTTGAATTTCCTCAGCAAAGAATCTTATGAAGCTAAATCTCCCAGATTCTGTCCATTTCTTGCTACTTGATGCCCTGAATATCCTCTCTCTTGTCGAGAGCTGGGTCGATAGAAACCATTACCCCTCGATGGTTTGTTATAATCCCGATCACTTCCATCTTGGCCGTTTCCCCTGCCAAAGCTCCTTGAACCATAACGCCCTCTTGGTGCTTCTGATTGATAGCCACCCCTGCCTCTACCCCTCCCTGTTGATAATACAGTAGAAGTAAACAAGACAGAGAAAAGGCGTCACTCAAATATAGCATACCAAACACCCAAACCACATCAAGCATAAAGATGAATCCAGATTCAGATTTATCTGATATCTCATTTAAATTGTTGCAACAGTACACAGAGGGGATGCCAAATGGTGAGACTGACAAGATTTGAACATGGGTCTACGACAAACCTAAGGTGCTCTCAAGAGTCAAGACTAGTCATGCAGCAGAATTTAGTTGCAACAATAGTAAAAGAAAGACTTACTTCCTCGTGAAGGAATGTAACTGTTCGGTCTTCGCTCTTCAATGTATACCTGCCTTCCAGCTATCTGTGCAGAGCCCGCCTGCAAACATAAAACATGAGGATCGGGAAAAGAAATCCAGTAAACATGCACAAGGGACAATATAGTTTGTAAGTAATAACAAAGATCAGAAGCAGCTCATTAGTTCAAAAATGCAGCACCAAAATTTCATGGGTTCTGTTGCAACTAATATGTTTAAACAGGATTATGCCAACTCTTAAGCAGCGGAAATCTCAAATTCAAGACGCAAAAACAAACCCAAACCTTGACTGCATTGTGAACCCCATTCATATCCATGAATTCAACAAATGCGTAACAAACTCCAACATCCTGAAATTAAATGAAAACTTTAGAAATTGACGCATACATAAACCATTAAAAAAAAGGGAAGAAAGTTTCAAGAGATGCAAAGACCAGACTTTGCGACTTCTGATGACAACACCATCAGGCCTGATTGGACCAAACTTTTTAAATTCCTCCTCAATTTCAGAAGTAGAAACAGCAGGAGACAAGTTTCTCACATAAACAGATTTGATTTCACCTGACAGGATTCCAAATCAAATCAAAATCCAGGCCAAGTATAAGATGAAAACTACATAAAAAACGGCTTCCTCATAAAAACTTATTTGCACGCAGAAGAATGAGGCATGGACCACGAAAATGTATCTCAAAACCAACAACTAATATGACTGAAAAAAACGAAAAATATAAACTTGCTACTTAATGTGTTCAAACAAGTACTGCGGAGTAACCTTCATCCTCTGTTGCAGGAACCTCCTCTGCTGCAACTGCATCAGTCTCAGGCCTTTCAAATGTGTTTGCTGATGCTGTTGCTTGCTGACTACTAGTCTGAGGAATATGATCCCACTCTGAGGACACATTTTTGTCATGGGAAGGTTGGGAAGGCATTGGCGGAGTAGATTGTCCTCTAGCAACCCGCAACTTCCAACAACAGTCCAATTGTCAGGCCCCCAAATCAAAACTGTATGTCTGTATCCATAGGGGGCAAAAAAAAAAAAACATTTGAAAATTAACTTAACATTAAGTAAGGGGCATACAATGGAGGCGTAAGTATGCTTTTGGGGCTCCTCAGCAGGTTCCTCAGCAGAAGCAGGCACATGGTCTTGCACCACATTCACTGCAGCTTGAAGCGAGCCATTTGACTCTTCAGCAGGATTATCCTCCCTAATATGTTCAGAATCAGAGATATGCTGCATTCTTTGCTCTGAATATCCATAATTGTCAACTACACCATTTTCTTTGACCTCATTAGTAGAAACAAATTCCCTTGACTGGATATCTGTACCCAGCAGGTAACTGGACACTGGAAAATTCATAGATCTCAATTAGTAAGGAGAATAATTTCAAGTAACTGTCATTCCAAGATCAGTCAAATTGGTTGCTTGCCCTATGAAAGGATTATTGTTAATAAATACATTCGACTCAAGTCACTTAACTTTGGGTTTCTGACTAAAAATATGTAAACACTAGACACAAATGAAAAAGGGAGCAACTATTGGCAAAACGATACAACACCACAAACAAAAACATTGCCTCCAAGAAATTAATTATAAAGACCAGAAACTTGTATAGTTTCTTCTCCTCTTTTCCAATTTAATTTTGCATTAAATGAATCAAATAAATTTAAGGGGGGGACATTGAGGCTAAAATGAAATCTACCTGGTTTATTAATTGACATTGAAGCATTCAATTTTGAATCAAGATTGCTTTGGGCTAACAAGACTGCTTGGTGGTGGGGAATTGGATCCTCTTCAACAAAGTGAAATATATCATTGAGCACAAAAAACCCTTTCTCTTGGGGTGCAAGGAAAAATGTCTGCATAAACTTCCTTCTCTGATTGTATTCTTTAATTTGCACACATCCAGAGACCATCACAATAACACCACCACTCCAAGACTCCAGAGAATGAGCTGACTTGATTTCAACTCCAGCATATCTGAGTGACATAACAAGTGCATGGATTTGCTGCCCACAGAGAAATTTCTTTAATTCTGGGGGGAAAATAAGTGATTCACTAATCACACATGAAAAATTGAAGGGAAATTTTACAAAGCTTGGAATCATTTAACAAATAAGGAAGGACCTATTAACATGCAAGGAATAAACTAGCAGCCGCTAGCTAAACAAGACCTCTAAATATGCTGAGAGTTAAAAATACAATTCTCAATGCAGGGCCCTATTATCTTCAAAACACCTCCAAAAATCCGGGAATCAGTACTATGGTTTGAGTATGACAAATTACACATCCCAGACAGCAACTATCCACCAAATAGAAATCTAAGACATATATTTCCATCATTTTTAAAGGCACCGTGAGTAATGGTACCAGGAGATGACAAAATACAATATAATCCGAAGGGGACGTAAGAAACAATCCCGAATGCAATTAGTTAGCCACTTCTACAGAGAGAAAACAAAGGAGACGAGAATTACTAGCATTGCGGTAGCCGTCTCCCTGTTGTTGCCGTCTATACGAAGCATGGTGCTGGCATCAGAGTAAAACTGATGCACATACTCTGGCTGATTCTGAAGAACCTGGTAGTACTGCCCAACAAAGTACGTCCCAACCTGAAACACTCGCCCCAGGCAAACCCATTAGAGACGGATGAGAAAAAAGCCGAAAGCCAAAACACAGAGAAGCAGGCGGTAAGAGGCAGAATAGAAGAAACCTGAGCAGCAGTGAGGGGAAAGGGATAAGGCGAGGCCATGGTGAATAGAAACTCTTAAACCCTAGAAAGGAGACGCCCCCAGCAAAGCCACAGATCCTATATGCCCCTGGAGATCCAGGCAGCACCACAAGCAAAATCTTGGTAAGTTCGCAAACAAGAATTACAGAGAGATCTAAGAGAAAGAGAGAAGAGAGAGAGAGGGAAGAAGGTACCTTTTGAGGAGAGAGAGGGAGAGAGACTGAGAAAGAGATTTGGAATGAAAGATCCTCTCCACGGGTTGGGGTTCGAGGGTGCCTTTTGTGTAGATGCTGGAAGTAGCAGCTCAGCCTTTTGCTCTTTCTTAGCCGTCGCCCACAACCTCTCGCTCACTCCCCCCGCAGTCTCTCAAATCAAATCTAAATCTAAATTCTAATAAAATAAAAATAAATTATTAAAAGTGCTTTGAAAAAGAGAGAAAAGACATAGGTATTTATAAATAAAGTGGAGAAAATTACAATTGTTAATTTTATCTGTTTCATTCAATTTATCTTTATTAGAAATATTAATAAAAGGACACTCTGATTTAGATCTTAACATTTTTTTTGAAATGTAAGAATCATTTTTACTTTAAAAATCATTAGTATGTTCCTAAAAATTCTTAATTTATGTTTTTAAATTAAAATTCTACATGTGATTTAGAATAATAATACAAAAATTATTATCTGCAGAAATACTTTAGAATTTCCATTATTTCATTTTGCAACCTGAAGTTAAATTGTTGACGTTAATTTAACTGAAAGGAATCTTCTTTGACGAAGAAAGAATGGAAGGAGTCTCAGTCTCCCGATGATTGACAATATTGGCAGTAGAAATTATGGGAGTTTCCAACACGTCATTGACATTTTTAGTTATGAGATTTAAAAAAATCTATTAGTTTTCTGTTTAAAAAAAAAGCAAAAAATAAGTCCGAAGAGATTACATTCCACATGGTATTAGCAGAAATTACAATACGTTTCATGCTTTTATGCTAAATTTGAAGTGATTTGCATAGATTATAATTTATAACTAATGTCACCTTTGTAAATTTTATAGCATAATGAAAAAATAGTTCCTCACATTGATACGTAGGGAATGTTTGAATAAAAACCATACTATAATTTTAAAAATAATTTTATAATATTTGAAGTAAATATGTGAAAAAAATTTTATCCCTATTTACGTAAAAATATTCTTTAAAAGTGTTTTTTTCTTGCATATACCAAATATTCTCTTAATGTTAACTTTATATGAGAAACAAATTACTTGTAATTCTAAAGTCATCGGGTTTTTTACTGAGGAAGAATTAAAAAAAATTAAGAATTTAAAATTATGGACTTCAAACATAGTTTTGTTTCAAATTTATAGCAAGTAATATATTTTAAGTTTATTATAATTTATTAGTCTTTTAATTGAGACTAGCGTTGACTTTTTGTTTTTTTAAAAAAAAATCTGCAGAGACGCCCAAAGTAGTATGGAGGCTGACTAATAATTGTTGTGGAGACAGCTAGTTGTCCTTAACTATAACTGATGCTCAGCTAAAATTTAACATTGTAATTTCAATTGCTACAAAACTAAATGGAGAAATGACAAAAAAAAGACTCTGAAAATTAGAAAATCGCAAACAGATATTTTCACAAAAATATGTCGTTATTTAAAAATTAATTATTATTAAAACATGTTTTAAGCGTTTATTCATTAAACCAAAGCTTTTTGTCTTTTGACAAGCACATTAAATACTCAACACACTACGCGCACCCCACCCAGCAGGAATAAATGGCAAGAATTAGAATACCTTCTTCAACATTAGCTGGTCTCCCCCCCCCCCCAACCTTCTAACCTGTTATCTTTTACTGTACATTGTTTTATATTATTTTCATATCAATAATTATCATTATTGAATATGCACATAAATCAATAAAGTTATGACCTAGATTGTAACAAAATCTAATCGCACGTAATGAATACAGCATTGACAACCAACCCCTTCAATCATCATTGATATCTTTTTAAGAGGATCTTCCATAAAAGTAGAATGGATTAAAAAAATTGAAATAGGCAAATACCTCACCTTGTCTGAGTCTGACCCATTTACAGATATTCTGCAGTATATTGGAGTTAACTTCACACCTTCCTCGGAAACTCAGATATTCAAGACAGATTGTACATTGTGTTCTGAATATGTGATTCAGTATGCACGACTTTATATGAACCCACATGGAATCAAAACGTAATCAGTGTTGGCATTAGCAAGAGATGTTGCACAGAATATTAACAATCTATCTTCGAGTTGGGCGGAAATAATGTTTAGACAGCAAGAGATGCAAAAGGAATTCCTCAGCCAACTGAAGCAAATGGATCATGATTGGTGTACAGGGCTAAAGGCCTCCTTTCCTAATTTCTTAGGCACTATTTGTAAAAATCTTAGAGCCTCATTCAATTTCTATTGACTTTGTGATCGTTTCCCTTCAGCCAAGCTTACACGCATTTCCCGTCCTTCCAGTTCCTGAAGCACACAAGTCATAAGCAATCAATCAGTAAGCAAAATCACAATCACCTTTTTACTCGATCTACAAGAGTTGAAGATTACCACTCCATTCATGGATGAAAGGGCGGCTTCCATTTCTGATCTGGTTGAATAGCAAACAAAGCCATAACCACGGGATCTTCCTGTTTCCCCATCATATAAGACCCTAGCTCCAACCACACGTCCATATTCTTGGAAAGCTTGAGTCAGACTCTCAGAAGTTACAGACCATGACAAGTTCCCAACAAAAAGCTTGTGTTCAGTTTCAGGATACAAGGGCAGTTTTGGTTTAGGTTTGTCAGAGAAGTTCACTCGCAGGCTTCGACCCAGGAATTCCTGAGATGTTCATTCACAACATTTAGTAAGTGAACGGTTAAATAAGGAGAACTAGCTGAACATTGCACAAGTGGAAACATTGGACAAAAGAGGAGTTTAGAGAGTTTGAGATATACTTACAGTTCCATCAAGGTTTTCTATCACTGCATTGCAATCTTCGACACTGCTCATTGTAACAAATGCAAAACCTCTGCTTTTTCCAGTCTCTCTGTTGTAAAGAACCTATGTGATTTTCAAGTTGGATTAGAAAGACTTGCAAGTTTGAGAAATTATTGCCACTAATGCAGGATTTTAGACTCCCATTTGAAAATTCCATCATGATAATGCTGTTAAAAAACTATCAAAATGATAATATAAAACCCAGCAATGGCAGAAAATTTCCTTATTTGTGTTTTTAGTTTGATCAAGTAAACAATATTTATAGCAACTAATTTCCTAATTATGACCATTCTTCTTAAAGCATTCTGATGGTCAGTTTATTCTTTTAGCAAGCCTAAGTAAGTTAGTATGTTCTGCTAGAAGTTGGATGGGTGTGAAGGTTTTACAAGTTAATCATCTGAGTCTCAGGGATGATAATGGCCAATATTTGCTAATTAATCTTCAGTCCTGTCTTCTAAAGAAAAACATCAAAGGACGAATCCATTCAAGCTAATGCATTAAATTTTGCAGCCTTGGAAGGCAATGATGTTAGAAGACAAAATTAAACGCCCACGGCATCAAAGAAAAAGAACGCTATGCTAGAAAGATAACTCCTCCTTTCAACTAAAAATTCATGATCACCCTATCATATATAACGAAAAACGACACAGTCTGTGGGAACTGCAGAAGCTATGTGTTTAAGTTAATGGGAGAATACAACTGAATGTCAAATTACACATTGTAATGAATAACTTATAAAGTTATCTACCCATTATTGTCCTACTGAAATACACCCACATACAATAGGATAAAGAATGTAATTGTAAATTTGTTTTCTCATTACAAGGGCAGGCCACTGATCTTTTAATAAGGACCTTTGCATATAACACTCCATTGTGTTTCCGGCTTTGTCATCCATTCGTCAAATAACTATGTTCATCAAAGTAATACAGCATCATCAAATAAGTACTAAAATGCATCAAAAGAAGCTCGCACTTGGTATACCGATCTCTAGTTCAAATAAATCCATAATAGATACCTCAATGAGTTCTGGGCTACCATAATCCTGAATAATCGCTGCAAGTTGTGCACTATCAACACTGTAAGGCAAGTTTCCAAAATAAAGCTTCGTGTTGACAGAGCCTTCTTCAGCCTCTCCTTCCTCTACCACTTCCTCTTCTCCCTCCTTGTTCTCTTCAACTAAACCAGCATCAATCTCATCAACCACTACAAGCTCTTCTTGTGTCGAAACCCTTGAAACCCACAACTTGTTGACATTGGTATCAAAGGAAAGTGGTTCCACCAAGTGCGATAGTGACACCGACGCTAACACGCGGTTTGATGAAATTCTTAGAAGGGGTTCAGAGGGCAAGTTCTTGGATGAACGAAGGCACTTGAGAGTGTTGATGGAGGAAGAGAATGAGGAGCCTATAGCCGCCGCTGCAGAAGCTGCCATGGTTGGTGGCGAAAGGTTAAGGTTAAGGTGAAGGTGAAGGTGAAGGTGGCGGATGATGATGGTGCTGTTGTGGAAGATGGCAGCTTTTTCAGTTCCATGAGAGAGAGAAAAAGTATGGATAGTGTAAGCTTCTCAGGCTGACGTGGGCAAATTGTGTCCAATGAAATTGGAAGAAATATGTCTGGATAAGATAACTGTATTTAATTTAAATGACGACCATATTAATTTTAACTATATGACATTTTATGTATTCATTAATTACATTTTCTTGTACCTGATTAACCAAATACTTTTGTATAATTTATTTATATCATTTTTATATTAAACTCATCTTTTTTGCTGCAAAAGATCAATTCCATTAATTAAATAATTTGTATAAATATATATATATATATATATATATATCAAATGTGAAGCGGACATGGTATGATTTTGAAATAAAATAGATAAGCAACCGCATCATTTCTTAGGAATTTATGATCTGCAGATGGAGTTAGTGATTCGAACTCAGATCGATCGCCAAAAAAAAAGAGGAAAAAAATAGGACTCACATATGAGTTTATTGTTTTTTTTTGGTTGCCCACCAGTTCACCGGAACTTTGCTTCGACTACATCTGGATCCAACCGCGTCGCGCACCTGATTGTGGTGAGTGAGTCTCCTAACGGAGATTTCTGCATACACTGAGACTCGAACTCGAGACCTTGTTTAAGCAGTACCAAACCGCTTGTCACTTAGACCAACCTCCGATCGGTACATATGAGTTTATTGTTGAAACTTGGAGATGTTCAACAGATCATAAGCAAATGATATAAAAGTCAAACAAGATTAGTAGTTCGTGTGACTCACTGCCACAATTTCATGAGTTGCATGATTTGGTTGCTGATGTTTAATTATTTGAATTTATATTTATTAAATGGGTGGATTATAATAAGATTCCAAGATAAAAATAATTATCAATAAATCCTAATAACAAACAAGCAATTGTCATTTATTATCCTGAAACTTATCATTACAAGTTGTTCATATTGTCACTGAGATTTTTCAGTAATTACTCCTCTGGTCCTATTTATATGACAAAGAAAAAGATATTTTTTAATTTTATTTATAAGGACACTGAGAAAATTTTTTTGTATAAATATACAATTTCACCTTTAATTTATTATTGACTTTGTTTATATAAGATATAATACATATTAAATAAAGATAAAATTGAAAGATTATTAAATTTTAAATGAGAGTTAATGAAGTATAAAAATTTTCCTAGTCTGTATAAAATATGTTAAAAATGACTTCTAAAAACTTACTTGTTATTTAGGACTTCTTAATAATTCTCCTTATCTGAATTACTTGGAACTAAATGATAAAACATTTCTTTATCTCAAATGTTCCTTCCTACGCATCGCACGAGTAATTTATCATAGTTTATAAGCGAAAAAACGTATCGACTACGACATAAATTAAGTTGAGCAGCATGCCTGAAATTATACTCTAGTCAAATCCAAGAACCTGTTTCATCTGTAACTGGAACTGATAATTGAACCAGACAACTACATAAGCAATCAAATTCATAATCTCGATGCCCCCTTACACAGGTTTACCTTGCAGCACCCACATTCCACCACTGGGCTGGCACATTATATGTCGAGCATTTTCTCAATCATCCTGAACCCATGCATTTGAAGGATTATAATAGGCCAGTAAAACTTTTTGATTGCAGCATTTTACAAGTAACCCATGTCAGATTCGCACTGTTCATTTTCAAAATCAGATAAACACAGGCATGCTCCAACAGTGTAGTGGAGCTAGAACTCCCACTTCTTCGGGTGATTAGTTTTCTGATTTGATGCTGACTTGGTTGGCCTTCTCTTTTGTACAGAATCAGTAAAATTACTTGATTTATCTGCAGCTTCCTTGGGTTTTCTCATGTTTCGGGAATTTTCAGTACCGTTGCTTGTTTTAACCTTACAGATTGCATGTCTATTTTGCGGCACTCCACAGTTCTTTGAACCTGGAAGTCTTTCCCTGCCTTTAATCCGATTTTTATTCCCAATCATGGTGTCATTATCTGATACAAAATCCCAAGGACGTGAGTTAGGTAATGTCAAAGAACGTATAATGAATTTGAACTTGCCTGCATGTTCAAATACACAGATTATAGAATTCATAACATAACTGACAGGGACTCTCGTGACCTATAAAATTCCTTTTGTTTCCTGATATTTCCACAAAACTTCTTATCAGATATCACTTCACTCAAGCTTATAGCTACATCCAATGAAATCCAAAGAGATCATGAAGCTAAGATTATAGATGACAAAAGGTAATTGAATAGATTAAAAAGCACAGTTACCTGGACTAGATATAACAGCGCGAGGAGGTGGAATTGAACTGGCTCTGATATTTACTCTGTCCTCATCAATATTGTCATCCTTCTCAGCTCCCGTAGGTCCTGAAGAATCTGATGTCAAATTACAGGCTCCTAAATCTTCAGAAACAGGTACTTTTGGAATAGGTGCATGTAAAACATAACATTTAGGTACTTCGGTAAAGGATGGATGAGAGACACCTTTCTGGTTCCTCACTGCAATATAAGAAAAATGGTGACTCCAATACTGCTGACAACTGGTCAATATTTTGGTTCCAAGAATGAGAAGGACATGACTCCATTTTTCCCCTACTAAACTTAGGGCTAACTAGATTGTACTCATCCTAAAAATAAGTTTAA